GCCTGCGGCATGAGGCCCGGCAGTCAGTCGACATGCCATTGCGGGCCCCGGATAGAGAGGAGAAGCCAGGTGGCAGGCGTGGCAGATGGACACGGGAGCGCCATATTGTATGATACTGAAGCCAACAACAAAAGTAGCGTCGACAAGAGCAGAGAACGCGTAGAGATCCTCAATGGGAATCATGAGACATGGCTTGATTGATTCTACAAACATTCGCTAGCTCCATCCCCCCTCACTCCTTGGGCGGCTCTGTAGAAGCCGCTCGCGGGGGCGGCGGTGGTGCGCCTGCTTTGGGTGGTGGCGCCACGGTACCGGAGCTCTTTGGTGCGTGGTCTAGCGCCCGGCTCTTCTCCTCACCCTCCTTGAAGTAGTCGTCCATCAGCGCGTTCGGGCTGTGGCCGTGCCTCTCCTTCTTCTTGGACCGCGTGGGCACGCCGACGGGCGGCGCCGCGCTGACGAGCTGCGCTGGCACCAGCAGATCCTCCGACGGCGTTTCCGTGCGGGAGACGAACCCCTCGGACCCGTCTGCCGGCGGGCCACCGTGTCCCGCCTGCGCTGCTGCTGCTGCTGCTGCTGCCGCGGCGCCCCCGTACGCCGCCGACGGGTCCTTCTCCATGTCGAACAGCATCTCGCCCGGCGCCGAGACGGGGCTCGTTCAGCGGCGCTGGCAGGCGGTGCAGGGCGCCGTACCCGAGCACGCAGCCCAGGGCGCCCTCGCCGCCCCACTCGCGGCTCGGCTGGATCGTGACCTCGCGCGTGACATTGTACTCGTTGTTGTAGACGTACAGCCGCAGCGGCCCGGCCGATGAAGTCGTCGACGAGCTCGCTGAGGCCGCTCTCGCCGTGCAGCGCCCCCTCGGGGCTCGCGAGATGTAGTCGCTGTAGGGCAGGAGCCGGCCAGGTCGGCGGGCGAGTTGGCGGCGACGTCGAGGACGTGCCAGATGTTGGCGACGACGGCGAGCGCCGTCCACTGCAGGCTGAGGCCGAGGGAGGCCGAGTCGGCGGGGACGGGGATGTGGAGCTCGCGCGTGCGCTGGCCCTTGGCGCTCCAGAGGGCGAGCGACACGGAGCCGCCGGCGCAGTTGCGGACTTCTTGTGCAAAGAGGGCGGCGTTGGGGCTATCCTGTGCGGGCCGGGGGGGGTCAGCGATGAGTGGACAAGGGAGAGTGAGGTGAGCAAGAGAAGGGGTGGACGAACGAGGGGCCTGCCGTTGATGCCAATGATGAAATCGAACCACGGCTCGACGGAGAGCTCTAGATTTGTGTTGCGCAGGACCTGGAAGCCAAAGGAACCCCCGCGACTTTGTTGCGTGGGCTGCTCTCCGTCCAAGCGGGACATGAAGCGGTTGAGTGCGCTGAACATGGTGCCAAGTGGTGGCGGTCCAAGGGCTGACTATTTGCGTTCTTGTGGCTGGGGGAAACTGTAAGGGTGTATGTTCGTCTTCATGCGTCGCTGAATCGGCCTGGCTGTCGTCGTCGAGGGTATGGTGGGCGTGGTTGAGCGGCGCTGGTGGATGTGGCAGGTTGGCATGGGGAAAGGGTCCCTGAGCTTCGACGATCGAGCTTCGCGCAAGCTGTCATTCACGCATCGCAGCCTTGCAGCTGGTCCAAGCTCTGGGCGTTGACGCTAACAATTTCGATGTGGGGCGTGTTTTCCATCCCTCAGCCTTCCATCTTGTAAACTCATCTGACAAGGTTCTTCTTACCACGCTCAGTCTTGCCATAGAGACGTGCTCATCAGTCTGTCAACCGACATGTGACGAAGACGTACAGATCGGCTCAACAGTGACGAGGCAACATGACCAGGATGGAACCCGCACCCCGGATGCCCCTGACTGATGAATGCCATCACTATGAGACCAAGGCAGAAGTGCCATGGGACCTCCAAAAGTACGTGACGCTCGTGCCGTCTTATTACAAGATTCCTCGAGAGACTGACTTTCAGCAGATACTTTTCCCAGCGCT